TGAAAGTCGCAAAGAAAGAGGGTTTTTAGCAAGAGCAGTAGCAATTAGACTTATATACCGCTTTGCGGTGCTTTACAGCCCTCTCCTTCCTTCCTTCCTTCCTTCCTTCCTTCCTTCCTTCCTTCCGACTTATCAATAGCACTTAAGACTTATATATCGCTTTACAGCCCTCTCCCTTCCTTCCTTCCTTCCTTCCTTCCCTCCTTCCTTCGGACTTATCAATAGCACTTAAGACTTATATATCGCTTCACAGTGCTTTACAGCCCTCTCCCTTCCTTCCTTCCTTCCTTCCTTCCTTCCTTCCTTCCTTCCTTCCTTCCTTCCTTCCTTCCTTCCTTCTTTCCTTCCTTCCTTCCTTCCTTCCTTCCTTCCTTAGGACGTATCAATAGCACTTAGACTTATATACTGCTTCGCAGTGCTCTCTCTAAGTGGTTTACAGAGTCAGCATATTTGCCCCCCAACTATCTGGGTCCTCATTTAGCCGATCTCGGAAGGATGGAAGGTTGAGTCAAGATTGAGCCAGTCAGGATCGAACTGCTGGCAGTGGGCAGAGTTTCCCTGCAATGTTGTATTCTAACAACTGTGCCACTAGTGCTCCAGTTTTGGTCCCATAAGTAGTAGGTAGATGGGTAAGTAAGCAGGTAGGGAGGGAGGTAGATAAGTAGATAGATAGATAGATAGATAGATAGATAGATAGGTAGATAGATAGGTAGGTAGGTAGGTAGGTAGGTAGGTAGGTAGGTAGGTAGGTAGGTAGGTAGGTAGGTAGGTAGATAGATAGATAGATAGATAGATAGATAGATAGATAGATAGATAGATAGATAGATAGATAGATAGATAGCAACAGCACTTAGCAATAGTCCTTAGACTTATATACCGCTTCACAGTGCCTTTACAGCCCTCTCTAAGCGGGTTTACAGAGTCAGCCTGTTGCACCCGAATAATGTGGGTCTTCATTTGACCGACCTTGGGAGGATGGAAGGATGAGTCGGTCAGGATTGAACTCCAGGCTGTGGGCAGAGTTTGCCTGCAATACTGCATTCTAACCACTGTGCCACCATAGCTCTTCCTTCCTTCATCTCCCTTCCTTCCTTCCTTCCTTCCTTCCTTCCTTCCTTCCTTCCTTCCTTCCTTCCTTCCCCTTATCAATAGCCCTTAGACTTATATACCGCTTCACAGTGCTTTACAGCCCTCTCTAAGCAGGTTTACAGAGTCAGCCTATCACCGCCAACAATCTGGGTCCTCATTTTACCGACTGGATGGAAGGCCGAGTCAACCTTGAGCTGGTCAGGATGGAATTGCTGGCAGTGAGCCGTGAGTTAGCCTGCAACATTGCATTCTAACCACTGCGCCACCACGGCTCTACCAGCCCTGCGAGGTAGGCCAGAGTAAGAGATAAACTGCACAGAAGATTAAAGACTAATTTTATTTACTTTGGCTAGAGCAGGGGTCTTCAAACTTGGCCCTTTCATGACTTGTGGACTTCAACTCCCAGAATTCCTCAGCTAGCATACGCTGGCTGAGGAATTCTGGGAGTTGAAGTCCACAAGTCATAAAAGGGTCATAGTTCCCTCACGCTGGCTGAGGAATTCTGGGAGTTGAAGTCCACAAGTCATAAAAGGGTCATAGTTCCCTCACGCTGGCTGAGGAATTCTGGGAGTTAGTCCACAAGTCATAAAAGGGTCAGTTCCCTCAGGCTGGCTGAGGAATTCTGGGAGTTGAAGTCCACAAGTCATAAAAGGGGCATAGTTCCCTCACGCTGGCTGAGGAATTCTGGGAGTTGAAGTCCACAAGTCATAAAAGGGGCATAGTTCCCTCACGCTGACTGAGGAAGTCTGGGAGTTGAAGTCCACAAGCCATAAAAGGATCATCGTTCCCTCACGCTGGCTGAGGAATTCTGGGAGTTGAAGTCCACAAGCCATAAAAGGATCATAGTTCCCTCACGCTGGCTGAGGAATTCTGGGAGTTAAAAGCCACAAGTCATAAAAGGGCCAAGTTTGAAGACCCCTGGGCTAGAGCAATGTTTCCCAATCTCGTCAACCTTAAAGCATGTGGACTTCAACTCCCAGAATTCCCCGGCCAGCCTGCTTTTAAGATATATGGACTTCGGTTCCCACAAAAATATCCCACCAACTGCGTACTGCACATCACGCGAGAAAAGGACAATATTTTTGTGCCGATTGTGCAAGGCTTTTCCCATCTGAGGAAATCAACAGAAAGACCTTGATATGATCCATTATTCTATTTGCAATCTCGGGTCTAAAACCAATTTATTTTTGCTTTGTATACCGTATCACCTCAGGAATCGGAGAGAGACAGGAAGAATGAGGCAATCTCTGGTGCAAAACTTGCTAGATTTTTGCCGCCTGTTTTCAAACATCAGTTGGGGTTAAAAAGGATGAAATGTTTCAAGAATTCCTCATATTCTCGGCTCTTTTCCTTTTTTGGGGGGGTCTCTGGTTACTGTTGCTTTGATCACCACTGTAGTGTATTGGTTAAAGCAATATTTCTCGATCTTGTCAACTTTGAGTTGTGTAGACTTCAACTCCCAGAATCCCCTAGCCAGCAGAGGGGAATTCTGGGAGCTGGCGTCCACACCGCTCAAAGTCTCCAACATCGAGAAACCCTGGGTTAAAATACAGATCTACTTCTCGACGTACGACCACCACTGAGCCCAAGCCAACCGGTTGTTAAGTGGGTTTTGCCCCGTTATATGACCTCCCTTGCCACCGTTGTTAAGTGAACCACTGCGGCTGTTAAGTGAGGAACAGGCTTGTTAAGTGAATCTGGCTTCCTCTATTGACTTTGCTTGTCAGAAGGTTACAAAAGGGGATCACGTGACCCCGGGATACTGCAACTGTCATAAGTACAAGTCAGTTGCCAAGCTTCTGAATTTCGATCACGTGACCCCCCGGGGCTGCTGCAACAGTTGTAAGTGCAAAATAGGGTCATAAGTCGCCTTTTTCAGTGCTGGTGTAGCTTTGAATGGTCACTAAATGAAGTGTTGTTAAGTCAAGAATTGCCTGCATCAACCAGGTGACTGTGAATTCTAGCTCTGCTTTGGGAACAAAGCCAGCTGGGTGACCTTAGGCCAGTCCCTCTCTCTCTCTCTTCAGCCCTGGAAAGAAGGCAGCGGCAAGAGTAGATCAGACAAACACACACACACACACACACACACACATATACACAGAGTGTCCTGGATCAAGCAAGGGCTTGCTGGATATCACTTGATACAGGCAGAATTAACTCCACGGAAGGGATTCATGCAAATTACTTTAGTATCAGGCATCCTCAAGACATTAACTCACAGTTACTGCAGAGATTCTTCTGAAATGCAGATTGTAATCTGGACCCGTCGCGTAGGTAAAAGGAAAAGAGCTTCTCCCATACTAACGGAGCTAACACTCCG